AGAGAGAGAGAGAGAGGGGAGGGAGGAAAGAGAGAGAAATAGATAGATAGATAGATAGATAGATAGATAGAGAGAGAGAGAGAGAGAGAGAGAGAGAGAGAGAGAGAGAGAGAGAGAAGAATAAATATTGGAGTGGTCGATTGTTTTCGTTTTTTAGCAACAGCCTGCTTTTTAAGAGATGATTCTTGCGCCTACTTTGCTTCTGGTCTGCCAGCCCAAATCTTGATTAAAAAAAACAAACATAGCAGTTTCTCCCCGTCATCTACTGTCGTATTACTACAATGAATTCGAAGAATACTAATTTTGGGAAATTTCAAATTTTAAATGTATTTTAAAAAGCAAGAAAGATATATAATCTAGATCTAGATTAGTTACAAGAATGAAACTGTTTTCTATCTCCTGTAAAATGTAGCTTTTTGAGCTTATAGTACATTTCAAAAAGTGTTTGTTCGTAGCCTATACCCTGACACTAGTGACACAGGGTGAGAAAGGCAATGATGATGCTTTTCAACAATTTTGCCGACGACATTTGAACTGTGGAAAGTAGTTCAGCACAGGGCCGGCCGACCAACAATACACAAGAGAGAGGATATTTCATGCAGGGTATACTCTGACCCTAACCTTAAGTATAACCCTAACCCTAGCCCAAGCCCTAACCCTGACTCTTGTATGGTTTGCTCAGTTGACCTTGTCACGGTAAGTACCGGCCCTCTGTGGAACTCTTCCCAAACTTTGCCTTTTTTCCTCCAGATGCTGAATTCCGGTGGTGTGTGGGTCAAGGATATGCCCAAGTTATACCGAGACACCTATGGAGAGGCACTCAACTTTGACTTTACCGTCGACTTAGCCCGCCAGTGGTCTGACTTTTTCTCTGTAGAGCAACTGTATGTATAAACTTTTGAAACCCTCTCCCCAATCCACCCCCCCTCTCTCTCTCTCTCTCTCTCTCTCTCTCTCTCTCTCTCATAGACATTTTTTACCCTGAGAATTTGTATGTAGGGGTTTTGTTTGCTGTACCCAGGTGTTGAGTGCTGACCCTGCACTTTGACTTGTCTGTTGATGCCTTTGTTTCTCCCCTCCTCCCACTTTCGGTACACTTCTGTGTTTGATGTTTCTTGCCCTGTTTCATGTCTGAGCCCTAATGGTGGAGTGAGAAAAAATGTTGTCTTCTCGTGGCTTTTACATAGAATCAAACACTATGCATGATCAAAAGTCAAGTAGTCGCTCCACTACAACAACGCTGATGCAACAAAAAGAGGTTGGAAGGTTACTGGCAAATGTACAGGTCATATAATGACATTTTGTTAAGGGATTTTTTTGTCAGTAACTTAATCATGTGTGCGTGTGTGTGTGTGTGTGTGGTGTGTGTGTGTGTGTGTTATGTTTGTTTTGTCATTTGTAAGGAAATGTATTGTGTTAGGTTGGTGGTTTTCTTACTAGGCTTTCCTTTTTCTGTTCTTTGTTGTGTTTTTTCCCACTTGCATGGTCTGTGGTGTTAAAATGTGGTGGAGCAAAGAGCATGATCTTTTCATCTGATAGTTTACCAACTGTCCTAAATTTCCTTTGTTTGTCTCCGATTCAGCAATCAATAAAAAAAATATATAAAAAAGAGGGAATCACATTACAACAAAACCAGTCTCTCTTGATGTAATTTGGGTCATTGTGAAATTGTTAGGTAATCTGATCTCATAAGATTGGAGATGCCTGACTGTGTTTTGATAAAGTTGGTAAACCACTCTTGTCACTACTGTTGTTATCATTGTCTCCGTCAATTTCTATGATTTTGCCTTTTTTGGGTAGTTCTTCGCAAGATGACTTAACTTTTTTGTGTTTTTTTAAAGTTTTGCACAGGAGCAGAGATGCACCCTATTGATTTGTTTATTTAAAGTTTTCCCACATGGTCCTGCCTCTTTCTTCCCCTACATGACTGCATAATTTATTTTGGGTTTTTTTTTAATCACACATAAAAACATGATATATTACTGACTTATATTCTGACTGTTCCACCTTCCTTGTGTTCACATTTCATTTTTGACCAATACTGGTCCAGACTCCAAATGTTGATGATTCCTGATTCTTTGCCTAAAGGGAAATGAGAAAAGTGAAGAAAAAAAAAGGAGAGAAAAGAACTTGTGGCCCAAAATTTCTTGGTGGATTGAGATGATTGTGTTGTGGTGGATGTCTGTAATCCTTTTCCTATGTATGGTTGTCGAAAAGAGTGGTGTAGAAATCTTTGAGAACTCAATGGTGTTTATGGTACAAGATTGCTGTGAATACTGTGATGGACTCCATCTATCATGTGTAATCATGTGTTTTTTGTTTGTTTCCACCCCCCCCCCCCAGACATCCGGCCGTACAAATGCAAGTACTGTGACTACTACGCCCGTACCAACAGCCAGCTCAAGGTTCACAAACTGAGGCATGAAGGTGAGTCGGTGGTGTCATGACTTGGGCAGGGAGTCACAGAATAGGATGCCTGGAGTCGTTTGTTTGATTACATATCGTTTCCTCGGAATTATAAAGTTCTATCTGCTCAGTACCTAGTTGTACTTAGTGGCTGTTATCATGTCTATGTGTTTCTTTTTTACTCAGTTTGTTGTGTGAGTTGTGTCTGTGTGTTTGTTGAGTTGATATGATCTTTCTTAAATTCTCTTCCCTCTGTAGTTTCTATCTTTTTATTTTGCCTTTTCTTTACTCTTAATGAGAGACTTCTTTCCCCCCAAACTAAAGTGTTCCGAAGATTTTTGTCTATTTGTTAGTACATTAGGATGTCATATGTACAGTGTTGGTGTTCCTTGAATGTCTATGTGTGGATGTCTTCACCTCTGTTGTCTCTGTCTGTCTACCTGTGGTACTTTTTTCCCTGCGCTAAATGACTGTAACAGTGTCGACCTGCTTCTCTTTTCTCAAACATTGATGGTCTATTGTCTGTCTGGAAAATACTTCATAGAAATAATAATATACTTTTTGTTCAATTTCCCCCCTGGATCGATAACAGCAACAATAACAAAATTTTCCCCAGGTGTCCGCGAGTTCTGCTGCCGTATCTGTAATTACAAAGGCGTGACACAGTCGGATCTGAACCGGCACATGAAGTCCCAGGTGCACGTGCTGCGCTCCCAGAACGTGTGCGAGCGCTGTGGGGAGGGGTTCGTGACCCCACGCAACCTGGAGGAGCACCAAGCTAGTCTGTGCTGCGGCAGTCCCGACAAGAACTTCCTGCACGACTCAAAAGCCAACGACGAGGATCTGGACGAGGATCATCATCACCATCTGCATCTTCATCATCATCATCATATGCTGGATGCGGAGGAACTGGAGGAGGAGGATGATGAGCAGCAGCAGCGCCGTGTGACGGCCATGGGAGAGGAGGGGAGTGCTCTAGGGCTGATCAGTGCCTCAGACGTGAAGAGAAGCGCCAGTAATGGAGCAGCAGGGGAGGTCGGTGAACCCATGGCTGTCTGATTCGCTTCTTTTGTTTTCTGCCGGTTCCATGTGATCCGGAACTCTGGTTCAGTATGTTCCAGTTCAGTGTGTTCAGTTTGGTTTAATCCGGTTCAGTGGGATTCTGCTTTTTATGATCCAACTTGGTGTGATTCGGTGTGATCTGGTTTGGCGTTATCGAATATGATGTTCAAATGAGGATGGTACAATATCTCTCTGTTGTCTTGCATGCTGATACAGTTGAGACTAGGATGTTATTCCTTTTTTTTTAAAGCAGCAGAAACATTGAGGATGATCACACACGCATTCGTGGATATAATATGACAGGACACGCGAAGTTAATTTTTTTCCTAATGTTGGAAGCCGCAAAGAGTGGCTGTTGTATATGATGTGGATATGATAGACATGAAGATGTTGTTCTTTGCAGCTGGAGAAACGTGATTCCTTTTGGAGAAAATGAGAAATATTAAGATATTGATCTGATAAGATGAAATGCTGAGATATTCTGCGGATTTGACGAAGAAATGCTGGGTGTGGTGGTAACACATCAGGTAGATATGTCAGAACATCATTCCTTGTGACCGTAGGAACAGCCGAAATTGTCCCAGACAGCCATCCAGTGTCGAGGAATAAAGTACTTATAATGTCAAACATGTGGTCATTGTCTCGGACAGGTGTCCGTCAGAGCAGGTTTGATCGTACGTCAATGGTTGTATAGCTAGGTGGAGAGGAGCTCTTTCTGAGAGATGACAGTTGTGATCACTGCATGTTTGGACATGGTGGCAGGCACTTAGGACTATTAGGCACTTAGGACTATTGTCCTTGTAGCCCACCTTCTATAGATGGGGCGTACGTATGTGTGAGGTGCCGATTTTCTCGGTTAATCTGGATTTATGAAATTGTCCTGATTTTTCCTGATTTCAGACTGATCGCTGCAAAGTCTTGGTACAGGATGTTTTAGTGGAATGTCAGACAATGTGATCCGTAAATCTGGAGTCCCGATGCGTGAGTTTCCATGACGTCTGAACAGTTCAGGACTTTTTTTTTTACAGCCTGTTGGCATCTCTGTTATGTGGAGAAGAACACTCCTTTAGGTCCAACCATTGTGGCTGGACGAACGACAAAACAAAAGTTTTGTTGGGCAGCAAGATGGAGAAGACATAATAACACAAAACACAAAAGTGTTCAAGACTGTGGTAATAAGTGGTGGAATTGGCAAGTTTATGGCGGGACAAGGCGGGATGTGAGGTGGCCTTGACCCTGAGCTAGATGTCAGTGCCACGGCTGTGTGGTGACATCATGTGGAGTGTAGATTTCACACGGACAACGGGTGACCTTGACACTTTGTCTCGGTTAGCATCTTGTATGCTTTGCACTGGCTCAAAAAAAGATGTATATCGTATAATATATTGTATTATATTTTGTTCCATTCCTGATGACTGAAGTGATTTTTTTTTCCCCGTGGACCAAGCCTTGCTCACACAAATGTAGTGGGACAGAGTCCTGGGTTTTGTGTTCATCGTTCACTACTCACACTCACAGGAAGTGAGGTGCTTTCAGGAAATTTTCTTTACTTTTTGCAGAACCTGCACAGAATATTTTCTTCATATTGTACAATGTGTCTGTTTGATTTGATTTATTTCTGTACGTGTCATATTTTTTTCTTTTACTTTTGACGGATTAAATGTATGTGTCACAACACGAGGGAATCAGGCACTCGTCAATTTTACGTCATATGAAATTATTGGTTTTATCTGAAAGGCTGCACATTTGCCTTTCTTTTTTTTAAATGAAAAAACCCATCTATTGTCAATAAAAGTCAAGATAGGTACAATTGAAGCTGGGGGATTTCCTAGTATCACAGGTAAAATTGTCGAGAAAATTGCCTCCAAAGTTTGGTGACTTGCAAAGCTATAGTGTCCTTGGAAAGTGCCAATATTTTTGGTACCTTTGGTCAATGTTGTTGGGGTTTTTTCCAGTAAAACGCATGCAGGAATGTGTTTTTAAATAGGCATAAAAGGAGTCGAGCTCAAAACAAAACATTCGAAAAAGGTCGCCCAACAGACGGAAAAAGATGTCGATTTCTTCGATTTCAATTAATTTTGACGAGTACCTGATTTCATCAAGGTGCCTCACGCAGACATACTGTATTACAACATTTTGTCTTTATGTGTATGTGGATGTCTTCAGGGGACCATATAATCAACTTCTGCTTTTTCTACTTAATTGTATCCTCTTATGCGTTCCTGCGGCCATTTGGTCCGATTTGTGTTTGTTTGTTGTCAGTGGAGGGTTTTTTTCACCACTGTTTCTCTCTTCTTCACATTCCTCATGATTAGGCCATTATATTGCAGATAGTGTTGGATAAAATGTATTTCTCTTGTACAAATTGTATGTGTGTGCGTACGTGTGTATGTGTGTGTGCGTACGTGTGTGTGTGTGTGCGTGTGTTTATAAGGCATTCCACATCAGTCAAAGGTTTCTGTGGATCAACAAGATTACTGGTCCATGAAAGTGTTTTGTTTGGGGGGGGGAGTTGTATACACATGTATGCATGCTCTTCGTGTATTTTTTGTGCTTGTGAGTGTTAGTGATTTTTTAAAAATTGTGTGTGTATGTATGTGTATGGTCTGATTACACAACAGAGCAGAACATAAATCTCTGTGATGGAGGAGTGCCCATGTACAGTTTAGCACAGACATAATGAAATCTGGTGGACACGGAAATCTTCGCTCTATGTTCAGATCTATGCGTGCTTGGCTGTTATGTGTATTAAAACTCTGCATTGTACAGACTCTCAGATGGAAAATAGAACAGTCAGACGGATGGACGGAACAGACATGTGGCTTAGATATTTAGTGTTTAATCATATACACATGTAATGGCAGTCTGTGTTGGAGAGTGTTCTGTATTGTAATGAAATTGTATGTTTTATTCATTTATCTAGATTTTTGTGAAGCCAACTGTTACTCATAAACTCCCTCTTCATCTCATCAGACACTTGAGATTGAAATTAACACAAAGCTCTTTCTTCTTAACCATGCCTGTAGTGTAGACAATTTTTTTTTTTTACTTTGGTGTAGTATTAACAAGAAAGAAACACATGAGATTTATCTGAATCTGATGGCCAAGTCGTAGTCTTAACTAGATGAGCAGAAAAATTAATTATTCAAATTGTCGTGTTCAACACCTTTCAACAACATTTTCAGACATTTTGAAACCAGATCATGTTGGTGTGAATGGTTTGTGAAGGGAGGTACCGGTAACTTTTTAGCAACAATACACTTATTATTGTTGACAAAGCTGTTCTTTGAGACGGTGCATGTTGGGGTAATTGAGCCAGCAAGGAGTGATACAGCGCAATCATTGTCCACATTTGTGTTTGTACAATATATTGTATTGGTAATAGAAAAAATTATTTTATATGCTTACTTCTGCTGTGGTATTCCTAGGTTGTGAACACCAAAATCAAATTTTCTTCTATTATCTATCTATAGATGTGTACATATACTTTCATGTGTATGATATTATTTAAAATTTGTTCAACCTGCTGTTGTGTTATAAAGCAAAATGAAAATGAAATAGATGAATTATATTCAGATTGCCTGTAAACCTACTCTTGTATTATGAAGCAAAATGAAATGGTCAAATATTGGACATACCGTCACATACTGTATTCAGATTAACTATATATAACCTACTGTTGTGTTACAAAACAAAATGAAATGGTTGAATATTGGATGTATTCAGATGGCCTGTATAATTTTAGCTCTTCGGATAAGGATGCTGTCCCCAATATATAAAAGTACAACATTAACGGATCTCCATTTCCATAGAGGTGAAGTGTTTACCAGGGTGGGCATCAGTGGAGTAGATAAATATCTTTATGAAATGCTAAAGTTCCTTGATAAAAGGGATTTGCAATCATGTGAATGAAATATATATGAAGTTTCAACCCTTTAATTTTAATACTAGGACTGAAAGAAGCAGGGTCTCCCTCTCCCTTTCTGTCAGATTTGTGATTGGTCTTTCCACCAGCAACTCAGAATCAAAGCTATTCTTTATATTATATAGGGCCTCTATCATGTATTTTAAAAATTCAAATTAAATGTTATTCCTTCATTTATCTGTACAAAGTTCACTGTGGATGGGTTTTCAGTTCCACTCTGTGATGATTGCTTTTGATTTTGAGAAAGAAATTTGGAATCCCAGGTGTTAAAAGAAAGCCACTAGTTGGTCCTACTTCTTATTCTTTTCTCTTCTCCCCCCCCCCCCCCCCCCTTGTTTCTGTCTGTCTATATTGCATTCCCCCCTACAGTAAATGGCCGTCATCTTGTTACTGTGATTCTCTTTACTCAAATTCTTTCAAATGAAGGGTCCAGTCAGATCACTGCAACAGGAACAATTTATAACAAGACTGAAGTTCAAGAGGGGAGAGGCCTATCCTCAACAGAGATTGAACGTAGAACTTGGGAACGGGTCTGAATATCATGTAATACAGTCAAAATTGTCCAAGACAGCCACCCGTTGTTGAGGAGAAGAGGAGTAGTTGTCTGAGTCAGGTGGACATTGTGGACAGGGAAATACAAAGAAAAAGTTATGGGGGGGGATGGAGGAGAGTATTACAACAAAGCAAAATGAATTAGATTAATTATATTCAGATTGCCTGAAATAACCTACTGCTCAGTTACAGAGCAAAATGAAATGGGTGAATATTGGACATAGCGTCACATACTGTATTCAATTGCCTGTCTAGAGTGGGAAATGGGCGTGGGTACAGTGGGATTGTCTTGGGACAGGCGGCTGTTGGAGCGGTCTTGTTCTGGTTCTGGTGTTTGTACAATTTGTTGAGTTTTTTGGTTTGACAGCGCAGCCTGTGATGGTAGATGTGCTACTTAACAACCCAGTGTTGACCTGGTTACAGACCGGACTAGCCTTGGACTTTTTGTGTCTTTTTCTCCACTCATCCTTCTAGTTAGTGTTTGGCAGTCTGAGTACCTTGTTACTTGACTCTCTGGGACAAAGTTCTGAGGAGAAAGTTATTATTGTGGACAAAGTTCTTGAAGAGACAGTACAGTTACTGTGGACAAAGTTCTTGAAGAGACAGTACAGTTACTGTGGACAAAGTTCTTGAAGAGACAGTACAGTTACTGTGGACAAAGTTCTTGAAGAGACAGTACAGTTATTGAAGAGACAGTACAGTTACTGTGGACAAAATTCTTGAAGAGACAGTGCAGTTACTGTGGACAAAGTTATTGAAGAGACAGTACAGTTATTGTGGACTAAGTTATTGAAGAGACAGTACAGTTACTGTGGACAGAGTTCTTGAAGAGACAGTACAGTTACTGTGGACAAAGTTATTGAAGAGACAGTACAGTTATTGAAGAGACAGTACAGTTACTGTGGACAAAATTCTTGAAGAGACAGTACAGTTACTGTGGACAAAGTAACGGCTGCAATGAGGAATGTTGTTTGTTACAGTTTGTGTTGACTGTATGTGTATCAAATCGGATAAATTACAAAAGAGTTTACTATTGTGTGTGTATGTAATAGTAATAATAATAAAGTAGATAATTCTTTTATATATAGCCTACTTCTGTCTGCACACAATTCTAGGTAGGTTAGTGAGCATTCATTGAAAGAGATTTGCCCAATTCTACAGTTTGCAAAATAAAGTAGCGCATAAATAAAAATTGAATTGATGTTCCATTGACAATTTAGAAACAACTCATACACTCCATAATTTTTCCCCTATCCCTAAAAATACAGTTTTTGTTTTTCAAGTGCTGATGTGATCTACGTCAATAGACATAGATGATTTGACTTTTCTTTTGTTACATATAAAAGAATCTCGGGTTTTATTTTCATTAAGTTGGAGCTTAAAATCAATCATCCAGTTCTTGTGTGTATCATGTGTGTGTATGTGTGTGTGAGAACCGACTGACGAGTGACCTTCGTCCTTTGAGAACAAGGCAAAGCTGTCTTCTAAACTCCTCCTTTTTTTTAAAAAAGTAGTTTTAAAGTCCTCCCTCACTAAGAGTTACCTCTCACCTTGTTTTTTTTTTTTTGGGGGGGGGGGGGTTTGCTTGTTGAAGCGTAGGATTGTTTACTCTTGTTAGTGTTTACTGAGGTTGTCCTCCCTCATTATCTATCACCTGTTGAAATATATGGGTTTGTCTCCACCTTGTTCTTACTTGTTTAGCCTAATACTCAGTGCCCACTGGCACGATCAGTCTGGTTCTGTTAGGTTTGGTCGACAGGGCTAGGTAGATTGAGGGCGAAAAGCGACCATTGTGGCACAAACCAAATGAAGCTGACTCTGACCTTCAAAAACAAGGCTGGGAGTTGGGCGATCGGTTTGTGTCTGAGAAGGGATCCCCCAATGGGCACTGGGTGTCAGGTGTGGAATGTTCTTGAAACTTCTTGTGTAGCAACGAGTTCATCAAGCTGAGGTTTCTTGTGATAATCAACAGTCCAAGCATCTCTCTCCCCCCATGTAAAAATAGGGCTGAGGCCTACAATTTATCTTAGAGTTGATCTAATGTTGAAAGAGATTCTATTACTATTATAATATTATTATATTCTGATATTTTCTATCTCTTTATAGTTCGCCCTGAACATACCCACTGCTGCTGCTGCTAATGATGATCATGTTGATGATGTTTGTTTATTCTCAATTTCCCATCAGGAAATTCTCCTGTGTTTCGTGCGTATAGAGGGAGCATTATTGGTTCATTTGTCTAAGATCTAATCAACATTTACTAAATAATGACACCCCGGTTCTAACAGTATTTCCATGTGTGTATAAATATAAGCACAGATTGTATATTTGGACAAATTTCTGAGTTCATTGAGCTTTGTCTTGATGTGATATTTGCTTCAGCTGTGGTGATGAGAATGCAGAGAAGTTATGGTGGTTAATGCTTAAGTTGTATGTGTAGAGGTGTATGTTAGTTGAGTTGTACGTGTAGAAGTGTCTTATAGTGTTGTGTAGAAGTATAGAGAGGAGTGTTCAAACTTTTCCTATGAACAATTTCTTTTTTCTCCTTGGTGTAGATCCAGCTTCAGCCATAATGATTTGTTACCATTCTCTCTCTTTAATATATTGTTTGTGCTGATTGTTTTCACTTCTCCTACTGAAACTTTTAGTCTGAAAATTTGCGTCTATTTATGTATACCGTATCATGTAGAGATAGTTGGTGATAGTAAGGAAAAAAAACCTGCTTCCTGGCAACAGGCTCTTTGAAGGGGAGGAAGAAAATCAAAACAAAACCGAAATAATACCATATCTAGCATAGAGAGAAATCCTCTAGCTTGCCTTTCTAAGTGTCACCTGTCTCTATGTCGTCTCTGTTTGTCAAAAAATGTAATGTAACTCCGGGCACTGCTGGTGCAATAGTCTAACAAAAGCTCTATCAAAGTTTTCTTCTCACAATGGCGACAAATCAAAATGGCTTCATCAACTTTTTTTTTGTATCTTTTTAAGAAGTTGATACTTACCAACAGTATTGTTCATATTGACCACCATCTGTCCTGTCCAGAGACTGAAAGAGGACTCTTATATGTAGTGAAGTCCACTCAAACCGAACATGATTAATCTGAAAAGAGCGGTATACCAAAAGAAAATAAGATCCCAAATTTTTGGGGGATAATTTGCAGAGCTCCCATTTCTAACCCAAAAAGAATTTCGAGGGTTATGTCAACTAATTCTTCACAAGTACCGGCAGCCTTCAAGTAACACAAATTTTTGAGTCTTACACGCTTCAAGATAGTAAAATAGGAGAAAGAGAAACAAGAGCACTTGTGTGTTGATTGAAAACGAGAGAGAGGCATCACCAGTATATTGCTTGCCTACATTAATTATGATGAACCACATTCACATCTGTGGACCTGCACACTATGTACAGGCCTTGTGAAGCAAGGAAGTACGTCTGTCGTGTGACTTTCTGTTAGCCATGACCTATTGTCTCTGCAAAGTTGTTTAGGCCTACATACTAATACTTATAATTTCCAGAGGCCCTGCACATGAGCACAGGACGGCATGAGTGTGTTCCATTATGTCACTGGCACTGGGCTTGCTCACATCTCGACTAGCACAGAGCACAGTTGAGTGTGCTCATCTACTCTTATGACTTTTTCTAAAGCTGACAAAGCACGCTGACAATGTCGAGAAAGCAAAATGCGAACAGACTGCTTCTCAAATTGCTGTTGTTAAATTGGGTAGGTGAGAAAAATGTTCAGAAAGTGAAATTTGCTGCGAGCATGGCATTCCTAACTCAATGCTGTTGACAATCGGATCAATGATCACTGTTTATTAAGCAAACCTCTCTAAACCAAAGGAAGTCGGAGTCTCTCAGATTTCAGTTCAAACGGACTCCACTGTGTGCTCCAAGTTAGATTTCTCTACCATAAATTGTGATGATAATCAGGGGTTCGAGTTAAGACTTCTCTACCATAAATTGTGATGATAATCAGGGGTTTGAGTTAGACTTCTCTAGCATAAAATTTGATGGTAATCAGGGGATATAATGCACACAACATTGTTTCTGAATGAGCTCAAGGGCATGACCCAGATATCCTCACTTCCTGATGGCCAAAAGTTTCCACACACTCAACACTCATTAATACTGGTTCCCACAGAGCAGAGCGAGTTGTGTCAGAAACAAAATTCTCAAAATATGTGCTCTTTCTGGTGGTCATTATTTTGAAAAAGAAAGAATTAGAATTTTTTAAATTAAAAAGCTATGTCTCTTGTCTTTCTTCCTGAATGTGCATCATAAACATGTCCAATTTTTTTTTCTACTCGCCATGGCAATGATGATATTGATACAGTATAATTATAACACCTCCCTCCCCACCCCCTGTATTTCTGTATAATGAACGGATGTAAGTTCATCATAGAGATGGGAGGTTTCCCCCCCCCCCCCCCCCCATCCCTACCCACCCCATTCATGTTTGCTTTTTCCTGGTACCAATCTTGTACATAATGGCTATATTTCTGATGTTTGCGTCGTGCTGTTGTCCAGCAACATTCACGTTGGGGTTTTTTTTTCCCTCAAGGTTTTTTTTGTCTGGTACGGTTCTTGTCTGTGTTCAGGCTCAACTGTGGAGTGTGCTGCTTTGTTTTGGTCGTTTTGAATTTTGTTTGTTGTTGTTTTTTGGTTTTGCTTTGTTTTCTTCACATAATGACAGAGCAAGTCGAAGTTTGGATTTATTTTTTTTTCCGTTTGGGTTCCTGTGGCTACCTCATTTTGTCCCATGCAAGTGAAATGGGTCAGCGCAATGCATTTTGTACATGGATTTTGATTTCATTTAATCTAGAACATTTCATTTGTACTTTTCTTTGTTTTCATCTTGAATGTATCTTGATCTTTGATTTGAGAAGAAAATATTATATGAATTGTGAATTATATATATATATGTAACCACGCAAATATTATGTACTATATACTATACTATTGTAAATTTCAGTCAGTTTTTGAAAGTGTGCGGAGAAAAGTGTAAGGTAGTCCTGAAGGTGTAGTATATAGCTCAATAAATGCACTGTTGAAGAGAAGAGTGCTGATGAGTCCAAACACACTCTTAATGCATGTGAGGTTGTTTGTGAAGAGACAGACACAGAGAGCCCTAGTACTACTGGAGTAGTCACTACCTTTGATTTACAAGGTTCTGTCCGACTTTTTTGGTCGTTTTGAGTTACTAAGATCTTGAGGTCAGAAACCAAATGTTTTATCTGCTCTATCAAAACCATAAGATTATACAAAGTAGTTATTAAGATATTCAAAGAATTGCATGCGCAAAAACATGTGAAACTCACAATTCTTTACATTAAATTTCTCAAAACTAGATCAAGGTACTCAGCAGATAGAACTTTGTTAGTCCACTTTTAGTGAAAAGGCTGACACTGAGAGCCCTATTAGTCTAGAATCTCAAGAGTTGGTCATCATTAGAACAGTTTATTGTTATTACTGGTCGCTGCCTCAGAATTACAAATTCCTGTCTGACATTTTTTGGCCATTTTGAGTTACTAAGACCATGAGGTCAGAAACCAAATGTCCTGCCTCGTCTATCAAAATCGCAAGATTATTTGGATTCGTTACCAATATATTCTAAGAAATGCGTTCGTAAAAGCTTGACATGTTGTGAAACTTAACATTTTAGATATCAAATTTATCAAAACTATATGTACGGAGCAGATTGACGTTTGTAATTCCGAGGTAGTGTATTGTTAGTATTACTACTGATTTGTCAACTGATTCTCTTGGTGAGGACTCTCATCTAGAACCCCCGGAGTCTTTGGCCTTCCCGGATTTGGCCAGAATTTGTTCGCAAAACTCTACCCGGTACCAAGTTCTTGACATTTTGGCAGGTTCTGCTCAAATATGAACATTTGTGTTCTTTACACTTACAGTGAAGCAAATAAAAACAAATCTTGTCACATTTATATTATGTTAATGCTCATGATAGGATTCTGTTATTTTGTGCTTGGAGCTTCAGCTTGTTTGAGAAAATAAGAATAGAAAAACTAAAAATGGCAGTGGATGAGGCCAGTTTTTTCTGTGTGTCATTTTCGCATGGAAAACTACTTTCAGAAAGATATGAGTGAAGCATCAGGACATGTAGTTTATGCCCTTCTCCTTGATTTGACATTGGGTCAGCCTGATATCTAGTGGGTGGTTGGAGGTTGCCACTGGTTGGGCCAACTTCCCTCTGTTTCTGTGTCCTGTCTGTTTTACCTTTCTCCTGCACTAACTGACAGTTATTCGTTATTGTGTCAGTGAACTCTTTACCTAATCAAAATATGCCGGATTTCATGATGAGAGAGTTAATCTTTGAGAGGGGGAAGTTTCACCATGGTCATCGTGTGATTCACATTGTCAGAGAAGGTGACAGGACTCATGTGTGGAAATAAAGGATAATATTATATCATAGCAGTAGCTGTGCTTGTCAGTCTGCTTCACAATAGATGGAACATGTCTCCCGTTTTCTTTGATGCCTCTTAACATTTTAGTTTGTCTCCAATTTTTGTGCAGGATTAATCAATAAAATTAATAATTTCTAAAAATGCTGCTGTAGAACGTTGCTATTCATAGGATATTTACAGTAGTAGTAGTGAAGAGTTGATCTCCTCAGGGCAAATTCCTTTCCATTTGATCTAGTGACAAGTGATCTGGAGGGACGCGGTGGGTGATGGGTTTTTTTTAGTTTTAGATCCAGTCCTGAAAGACAGCAGCTTACACTGTAATTTGTTTTCTGTTTAAACGTTCCATCATTTATAAAGGGATTTTTTTTTTTCTGGCATGCCTGTCATGTTCTGTAGTCTATACATGCATGTCATTCATGAGCTCTGAAATAAATGTTATTGATAGTCCAGGAAAAATTAAGTAGCACCAGACCAGGCACTGTCGAACCTGCTCAAACGGCCACCTGTAATAGACAATCACCTGTACAGACAGCCACTAGGCCTACCCATTTCCTCCCTTGCATATTTTTTGCATTATAACACTGTGTAAGACATCCAGCTGTCTAGTAAGACAATTTTTCTCCTCGACAATGGGTGGCCGTCTGACATATTTTCGACTGTAGATCACCAGAAACTGAAATAACCAGTTCTCAATTTAGTATATAAATAACTTTAGATGAATTTTCGTGTGTTAATGTAAACATATTATGTTATATATATATATACATTTTTTTCCCAAGTCAAATTTTTTCTGTGAAGACAGTATATGGGGAGATGCAAGAGAATGGTTTGTTTTTGTTTGTGGGTTATTGATCAGAGGGAGCATTTTTACAAATGGTTCCAGTATTGTGAGGCAGATGAGACAAAGGGGCTATGTCAGCTGCTAGACAACCATACAGATTGTGTCCTCATGTTGTCCGCTGGTCAGGGCTGCTGATTGTGTTCCTAAATTTGATGTATGCTTCCCAAGAAGTTGAGATTGTTTTAGTAGAGTGCTATCAAGTCTGCTGGAGTAATACTAGTATAGATTGTGAAGCACACAAAGCTTGCTGTTGAGTGGGAATTTGCGCTCTAAAAATGCTTTCTATAATTCTAGTAGTAGTATTTGTCTTGCTAGTAGCCCTCCACGTCCCAGTATGTTACTGGAACACTTCTCTCTTTTCGTCAGAACATAGAACAGAAAATTTCTCTTCGTCAGAACATAGAACAGAAAATTTCTCTTCGTCAGAACATAGAACAGAAAATAGAACTATCATGCTGAAGTCAAAAAGTGGTACCTGGACTAGTCTTTCTGTATAACGTAGATGCTGGTACTATTACTATAGACCTTGTAAAAGGCACAAACTCTAAGGGGCGCAGAACTGTGAGCTTTTTGCTTGTACATACATATGACAAATATACTTGACCAAATCAAATCTATGAACCAGCGGTTGTTCCTTGTTCCTCCGCTGGCTATGTTGTTTGTGTACAGAGATAAGAAATCATTCCACCACTCGGACAATTCTACCTTTATGTCCTTCTAAACTACCCTCTCTTTCTTGCTTCAAACTCTTTATGAAAAACCTCAACATATTCAGTTCCAGATGGTATTATTCCTCATTTATTGTACCCGCATTTCATCATTCCATACTGTGACCTTATTAGAGAGTACTTATCAAGAGTTTTAAAATGGTTGTTCATTAAAAAAAGTTCCTTTATGTGAAGTTTTGTGGATTTTTTATTTGTATTGCGTTTTGTGTGTGTATTGCGTTAACCCATGAAAACCAAATTTGGTAACATTTCCATTAGATACTTGTAGTTGTTAAATTACTAGTACTAGTATTACCTAGTTTAATCATAGTTTTATTTTCATTGTTTCATATTTAAAAAATTTGTAGTTACTTGGAACAATTTTGCTCTCAAGGGTTGACATGATTCTATCTTGTTTCCTGTTTTGAGAGTAGGCCTACATGAACTAAATGAAATTGTTCATGCTGGCAAGTTGGCAAAATAAAGGCTGTTTTGATTGTGATGCAAAGTGCGCATTATAATTACAATGCCAAGAAGAAGACGACTCCAGAAGAGCATCCAACATGCTGGGGCTCAGGCATTAAGAAAACAAAACTGTAGTTATTCTCCTGCTGTTGGGGAGGTACATGTGTTTTACTCGAGTGCACGCAGACACTGCGACTACCACAAGGAGACCGTTGAACATCTTCTCCTTCACTGCCCAAACCTGGCAGTTCTTCGACGCAGGCTCCTACACACACCCACATACTTACAAAGCCTGCTCTACTCTGGCGTTGAACAGATGACAAGGTGGTTACTTGAGAGAGGCATTGCGCTGCCAAGAGCGAAATGCTCGCAGTTAAAGGGATTTGAAAACAACGACAACAACAACATACTCGAGTGCACATGACCAGGGTTCGAGTCTTAGCAGAGGCAGGTCTAGAAAACAATGATGGGATTCCTTAAGAACGACATCATGTTTTAGTAAGAGTTTTATGACACTTGCAACACAATAAAGTCATAATATAAATAACCAAGATTAGAGGTGTTATAAGAGAGTAACAAACTCAAAAAAAAAGGAGGACAGACAGGACCACAGATGCTCGATAGAAAAGTAGCAGCAAACCACACCAGAGCACCAAGCAACCATGGAACATCATCTGGATCAAAGAACCACTTCAAACAAACACAACACAAAGAAGTAACTTAGTAAGGGACAGGAACAAAACAAATGAAATATATGGCCTTTTCAGTCAGATGTTTTATTATGATCTTCAATTAAAAATAAAATAAAATAAATAGAAAGGGGGGAGGGCACATCAATGTCACATAAGCAGAGTTTGCTGTTCTTGTGTTACCTCTTCCGTTTGCCAGACACCACTGACCACGACCAGCAGCAAGAACTGCCCCCATCAGCGGCCAGTGTCTGTAACCCCTGCTCACCACGGGGAGGTGGAAGTAGGATTTCGAGCAGGATAGGAAGAATTTCCACAACACTGACAGCCTGGCCGACAGGAGAGTTTCCTTGTGATCCAAATTACAAACCCTACACTTTACTCTTTCCCTCAACTTATCAAACTGCCAACCCTACACTTTAGTCTTCACCTAAACTTGTCATACCACAAAACCTACACTTTGCTCTTCCATCAAATTGTTTTCTTACCACAAACCCAACATACTGCTCTTCCCCTCAACTTTTGAAAACCGTAAACCTTACTCTTCTCATCAACTTGTGAAAACCGTACACCTTACTCTTCTCATCAACTTGTCATTCTCATACCCCCCGACCAATATTTGGGCTTCAATTGACCTCCCCCCCCTCCAAAAAAAACCCCCATCCCATTCACAACTTTCTTAACCCAACTCTATCTCAAACCAACTCCCAAACATGTCTAACCTCTTGCACAGTAGAGCACAAGGAAATCTGTCCCTAACCAAACCTTTATAACTGACAATTCAGTCCTGAAAAACCCAGACCATCAATACTGACCTTTCGGTCTAAATCAATTTGTGAAGGCAAACACTTCAAGTTGGTGTAATTAGACCATTAGAATTAAGAGACTCAAATTTTCTCGCTTGGCCAGTCTTGGTGGAAATTCTTCCCTCAAATCATGGTTGTATGCAATGTTGTAGGTTTGGTATGTGCAAGTCGGAGAGTTTTGTTAGAACATACATCCAGGATAATGGATCCAGCCTCATTTTTGTCTCTCATACGTGATTTTTTTTTTGACATCAAAAACACATTCATTTAATAATGAAATTGGTACATAACAAATAATTGAAGGTAGCTTTTTTGTTTCAAAACAATCTAATAAAAAATTTTATTAAATAAATCTAAATCCCACGAGCACTTTTGGAAAGCGTCACTTTGTAGTGAACGGACAACATCTGAAATAGGTGGTCAGCGAGAGGGTCAAGATTTGACTGACCACACATCACAGACCACCTTGTGTGCTCTCCACCACCCCCGCACCACCACTGTCGCTGGCCCTCCCTCCCTCCCACTTTCAAGCTCCTTTTGAGCATGTACAGGTTACGGGAGGACCAGCGCTCAGTCCGTGGGGCGGACAAAGCCAGGGATCTGCACGGCGACACCAGTCCACACGGAGTTACCTCAGACATGATAGCGGCGCGGAACAGGAACGAAAGGAGACACAAATATCACCAAGACTATCAGGCGTGAGAACTACGAGAGTTGAGATGAGAAGGGATGGATAGTGGTTGTCCTCTAACAAAGGAGGGAAGCATTGGTCAGAAGTGCGGCAGGGCGGCAAGTTTACCGAGGTAATAACATATTCAATACATGACATGAAGACATGCAAAATCTAGCGGAAGGACCGGGGGGAGGCGGCGTTACTGGAATATATAAACTGCAGTGGGCCAAACAGAACAGGGGTAATGACTGGGCAAGAGTACAAAATGTGTTTGAGTGTTCTTGTGTGTCTGTGTTTAAGAGTTTGTGCGTGTGTTGAAGACACTTGCACTTGCAGGGAAAAAAGTCTCAAGTTTCAAGCCAAAAAAAAGTTATATACAAAAGAAAGCAGTTAGACCTACACCCTTTTACAAGAGACTCCAATACAGAAAGGTTCAACCATTGAACACAATCAGGCCTACAGCAATATATGAAAGATGCAAAATCCATAAAGATCTACGGAGTTAGGGTCAACAGAGCCAGCCTTTAGCATAGGATCACAAAAGAGACAGGAATCAAAGATTATTTTAAAGAGTTCAAACAAAAGGCGCACGCAAAGGGACAGACCACAAGGGAAATTTTTGTTTAAAAATTACTCTGGGCTATTGAAGCCTGAATGTATATCACTGCAAAAGCCTACGCCTATAGTCAGCAAGCATTTTAGAAGGGAGTGCATGTGATAAAAGGGCAGGATTGTACAAGTGAACGGTTCTCTAAATGCTATAGTGCAGAAAACACGCGCAAGTTGTTTTTAGATTTGGCAGTTAAACGAGAATGGGGTACAACAATACTGACACCATAAGGAAAGAAATCAGAGAAGAAAAAATCCGACAGAAATTATAAAAAGAGGGAATGAGTCAAGATTAGGTTGACAAAAGTACGACGAAATTTTGTGGTAGAGTATAATGTGCTGCTTGAAAATTGTATCACACGAAGACAAAAAAAAAGGTCATGCTGATGAAAAAGCACCAGTGGGGTCAAGAAAGATTAGAAATGCTTAGAGGTAGTACAGAAGCAGATATATAGAAACATACACCGGTGTTGAGTCACGGAATGAAAACATATCGGTTATGTAACTAGTGGGAGAGTAAGAGGATGCGTGACGGACAATGGAGGACTGGTGTCACTCTGCAGGGCGCCTGACCGACCCGAGCTGTCTAACTAAGCCAAACAGTCGGACAGCTCAGGCCTTTTTTTTTTTTAACTTCGACTTTTTAATATAACCATTGTGTTTATGCTCCTCACCAACTGCTCTCCACAAAACAAAATCATATTGTTCATAAAACTGAACTTTGACGCAATACTAATTACGGCTTCTCGCAAGACAAAATACATTATTATTAATTTAATAAAACTGAACTTGGACACAATACACACCAACATTTTACACTGAACACCCAAATTTGACATACCAGTACAGGGCATGGTGCTGGAACCCATCCCATCCGCACACAGGACAAAGGAAGTATTAGTCAAGGCAGGACAAAATCTGGAGTAGGGGGGAGAAGGGAAAGGAGAGTCCAGCGGCTCGCGCTTGGGTACAATCAACCGACCGATCTGCAGAACACAACAGTCATGGCCCCCATACCCGAAACATAAACAAGTTTCCCCACGAGGATATCTACACTGCTAGGTGGTGTACATTTTCAAGTCACAAAACAGATCAAGCAGAAAAACATTTTTGGGATTCATCCTGGCATTGGAAAATCTACTTCTTTATAAATGGTACGAGTTAAAAGCACTGTGTAAGAAACGAACTAGTGAACAACATTAGTTTCCTTTTTTTTGCCCCAAAAAATTACCAGTAGGCTTCATATTGACTAGTGTATTCCACTTATATATATATATATATTGCATACAGGACATTTCTTACCAAGAATTCCTTGGTCTTGTCTAGATCTTCACCGACACTTGTTGGTTTGCCACTCTTCACCTGCACTAAAAATCGCACAGACAAAATGTCCTATGCTACCTACATATAGGCTATGTGGACGAATTTACTTCAAGTAGACCAGGTTCAAAACTGACTGCAGACAATCATTTAGGCTTATGTTTCTAGGAATTTAAATTTTCAAAAACTTAAAAACTTGTGACTGTTCCAGCCTTAAATGATTACTTTGTCAATAACAAAATAAAATAGGTTGTCTGATATTTAACTTTCACCTTCACATTCACTGTGCAAAAAAACAGCATTTGTTTAGTTTTACGTTACTTAGGAAAGGGAATGAAATGATGAATTGACATGTTGATGAAATATAAATTTATATGTCAAGCCTGGTATTGTATTCTACATGAGAGCAATTAACACTTGACAGACGACAGGGATACCGTACTTGGCTTACCATACCAGGGGGACGATGTTTTAAAATAGACAAGACCACGGGTAGATTTTCAATGGCTCCTCAAGCACACAGAAGCACTTCCGGGCTTTTTGCACACAGGGCTTCTGTAACTGCATGATAGAACACCAACATTTCCCCGGCCCAAAACAACCCCCAACATAAACTACCATAATCC